CCCCCCATAGTTCCCGGGCAGCCACATTTCTAGGGCAAATTTTGTTTAAGGCTTTATTTAATTTATTCTTTTAAGCAGGCTCCACGCCCAGTGTGGGATCACACAACCCCGAGATCGAGAGCGGCACACTCTACCATCTGAGCCAGCCGGGCGCATTTCCAGGGCAATGTCTCACTCACCACCCTGTACCCCCTATTCTAGGTGCCCAGTGGGACCACTTCCTCCCTGGCCCCCACACCCACGGCACAGACTTCTTCTGGCTCCTGAAAACTCAGGTTGTGCTGGGCCACTGGGGGGGGTGCCCACTCTCCTGAGAGCCCTGCCTGTGTGGGCTCCCCATTGTCCAGTGTGCCAACCCAGGGCAGGGAGCTGGGTTTCCAGCAGGGCTGGTGGAGGGGCCGCAGGAGGACTGTCTCTCCCTCTTCCCCAACCCCTGCCATGGGCAGGGCCTGGCCAGGGTATAAATAGCACAGACCGCTGGGCTCTCCCCACTCTTCCTCTCTTCTCACCCTCTCTTCTCGTCTCTTCCTCTTGGCCTGGTGAGTCGTGGCCTCCCAACTAGCACACAAGGGTGTCAGGCCGAGGCTGGGGCAGGACACAAGGGTGTCAGGCCGAGGCTGGGGCAGGCTGGGCAGAAGGAGCGGCTGGTGGGGGCCAGGTGTGCTAAATGGGTCCAGTGTGAGATTCCGATGTGGAGGCCCTGGGGTGTGTGTGTGGATGTGCGTGCACATGTGTGCCTGCATGTGCAAGAGGGAAAAAAACACACACACAAAAAAGAAGTGCAGGTGGCTGGATCTGACCTAGCTGAGCGGTACTGAGATGCTGGCTTTTGCACATGCTGTTGCTGTAGTATGTGATGGTGTGTGTGTGGCATGTGGGTGTGCACATCGGCTTGTGTTTGCTGGTTGCACAAGCCTGTGTGTACACACTCGAGTGTGGGGAGCCAAGTGAAGGCAACTGTGGCCGTTTGTCTGGTCGTGTCCTCTGAGCTTCTGCCCTGCACCCGGCAGCCCAGCCAGAGGCAGCTCGCCTCCCCTCCCCTCCCCTGCATCCCTGCCCCCGCCACTTCACCCTGCCCTTCCCTACTCTAGGGCTTGGTCGCTGGTTTTTTCCGCTGCAGGCCCCTGGGCAGGCCTCCAGCAGCACCAGGGTGCGGCTGCTGTGGTCACGGGAGGCCCGAGTGAGGGGTGGAGCCGTCTGTTCGAGAGGCCCAGCCTGAGGGAGGCTGGGGAGTTTGCTGCCTGAAGCATCCGCTTCCCACTGTGCACCTTCCCCACCAGGAGCTGAGCCCCACCGTTCTGGGGTCCTCCTCTGGTGGCAGCAGAGTGTCATCAAGTGCTCCCTGAGGGATGGGAGTGGGATGAGACATTCTGACATTCTGAACACAAAGTTGAGGGTGCGGATGGGGAAGATAAGGGTGTCTCTGGGACCCTGTCCTCAGATCCTGACTGCCACCATGGCGTACCCCCTGGAGAAGGCTCTGGATGTGATGGTGTCCACCTTCCACAAATACTCTGGCAAGGAGGGTGACAAGTTCAAGCTCAACAAGTCAGAGCTAAAGGAGCTGCTGACCCGGGAGCTGCCCAGCTTCTTAGGGGTGAGTGGCCACTGCCTGGGAGTAGGCCCCATGTGCCCCCTTCCCCACAGAGGAGGGGCAAGGCCTGGGTGGGGGCTGTAGCCACAGCAGGCATCTGTCACCGAGATGGGGAAGTTGGGGCAGAGAGCTTGCCCTGACGGCTTGGTTGGAAACACACTGAGCACCTACCACTCTCTTCCTAGAGCCCAGCAGGAAGAGGGCTGGGAATGAACAGGTAGGTTGCGGACCAGACTCTGCCAGGTGCTTTGCACAGCTTAACTGAAGGGAAACAAAAGCTCAGAGAGGCTAAATAACTTCCCAAGGTAGGCAGAGTGCAAAGCCGAGACCCGCGAGTCAGGACTGTCCTGTTGCCATCAGTCCAGCAATGAACAATTTTTGAGTCTGGCTTGTGAATGTGAAGACACAGTTATGGAGACACATGCTTACTGAGCCCCCCTGCCCCCGCCCCCAGCAATCACAGATCCCATCTATATCAAACTTTATGCAGTTTATGCGTTAATTTCTAGGTGCCTGAGTAGCTCAGTAGGTCAAGCATCTGACTCTTGATTTCAGCTCGGTCATGATCTCATGGTTTGAGGGTTCAAACTCCGCATTGGGCTCCGTGCTGAGTGTGGAGTCTGGTTGTTATTCTCTCTCTCCCTCGGCCC